AGCAGAAAAAGAACACAATCAGTCAATTGGAAAACAAACCTCCAATAACCCAAACTAACACATACAAAGATATTTGTTTGCCCATCATTATTGGACAAAATATCTTTGCAAACATACATAACATATTTCTTTAAAATAAAAGGCAATTATGTACAAACAAGCCTACCTTTATATAGGAAATAACGCAGATGCGAGTAGGTAGTTACTAGTTTCGCCACCAGGTGGCTCGTTCGGGTCAGATAACAAGGCAGGTATAGTAGAAAGTTCCCTTTAACTTAAATTACATCTGTTTTAGTGGTTCAATTTTTATATAACTCTTATGTATCTTATAGTTATGCAAATCAAAATATGTCCAGTAAAAGAAAATGTTATCTGTCCAATACAAGAAAAGATATTTAACTTTTTGTGATTTGGTAACATGGGGTCTATGAGGAATCAAGTTAGGGGTCACATTTTCAAAAAAACAATTTTCGAAACCATTTTTCTGGACGTACTTTTACATGTACAGGGTGTCCAATAAATAAGGTGAAAGATATTGTAACTTTATTAATATTGCACCAATCTTGATGAAATTTTCAGAGTTTGTAGCCCAAACCTTTTCACGTTTATTCTTTGAATTTAAAGCGTCTTTTATTTGATTGGCCAGAGTTGTGGTTGCTATGGCAACCGAAACAACAAAAAGGCGGGGCAAGTTTGTTTACGTCATAACTTTCCAAAACATATTTATTCTTTCTGATAGCTTTATTCATACACCCAGGTCTATTACTACCACAAATACAATATAAAAACAGTTCTTAAGTCCCATTGTTATAAAAAATAAGCTATTCAACATAATGTCCATCTCTCGCTATACACTTCTTATGCCTATTCACCCACTCTCTAAACACACTTTCAAACCCATTCTTGCCCATTTCCTGAAGTTTTGCTAAGACATGTGATCTAAGTTCACACACAGCTATGCTCAGGAGTGAAGCTATTAGGGTACTGGGGCTACCCCTACTTGCACACCCTCCATATTCCCCAGACATTGCACCACATGACTTTTACTTATATGCAGAACTCAAGCGTGACTTGAGAGGAAATAAATTTGGAAGCACTGATGAACTCAGATCACATGTCTTAGCAAGACTTCAGGAAATGGGCAATTATGGGTTTGAAAGTGTGTTTAGAGAGTGGGTGAATAGGCATAAGAAGTGTATACATGTAGCTAGAGATGGATATTATATTGAATAGCTTATTTTCATAACAATTGGACTTTAGGACTGTTTTATATTGTATTTGTGGTAGTAATAGACCTTGGAGTATGAATAAAGCTATCAGAAAGAATAAATATGTTTTGGAAAGTTGTGACGTAAACAAACTTGCCCCGCCTTTTTGTTGTTTCGGTTACTATAGCAACCACAACTCTGGCCAATCATATAGAAGACGCTTTAAATTCACAGAATAAAGGTAAAAAGGTTTGGGCTACAAACTCGGAAAATTTCACCAAGATTGGTGCAATATTAAGAAAGTTACAATATCTTTCACCTTATTTATTGGACACCCTGTAGATTTCAAATATGACATCACATTGACTGAATTTTGAATATTAAATGATGTAAATCAAGATTATTTCTATTCGCATCTAGTCTATTGAAACCTTATAAATGAGGAATGTATCCTTTATAAATAACATGAATGCAGAACTTATAGATTATCAATAGATCAATCACTATATTGTTCAATAGAGAACTTGAAAGCTTGAAGTCAGAGACATATAAAACAAGGGATTCCATTTTACTTTATTACAATTCACATATTTGTCATATCAAATTGTCAATCAATCAAATTGAAAATCAAGTACTGTAGTAAATTGTCACTTGTTTTGTGACAAAATGTCACAGCCTGTGAATTAACAAAAGTAATAATGCTTTGTTTTGGTGCCAACTATTGACTGCCATGGCAAGTCACAAAATATGGCACCATTTGGTCGGCCGCCTTAAATGTTGATTCCTTACTATAAAAATATTTGACTTGGCACGCATTAATGATAACTATTTGCGTATTGTGAAAATGGAGTATTTTTACAACAAAAAAGCTGATTTCTCCAAATTGAGGCAAAATGTAAGAGCTGGAAACAATTACGAAAATTGAATTGTACAATGAATAAAAGATGACGCACAGATATGGAGCAGAATGAGTCTTATTTCTTTGAGTGGAATCAAGCAGCTCTGAGCAAGAGATCCAAGACATAATTTCTTTTGTTTTTCAACAAAATCTTGTAGAAATCAACTGGGATCAGTCACTACCCAAAACACAATTAGACATTTGGATCTCCTAAGCTGCAGTTCATAGGGTGTCAAATAACATAATAATGATCGACAATTCTGATCTACAAAGCATATAAGCATGAGATATAAGGATCAATATACTGATATATTATAATCTATATATTGATGATTCCTTTGTGTTTTTTATATAATAAATTGAATATGACATGACATGAAGTGAACATGACATGACATGAAGTGAACATGACATGATGTGAAGAGAACATGACATTGACATTGTACAAATTAAGGCCATTACAATTTAGTTGTCTGTTTACTGATGCCTGGTTGGGGACCTGAAATCCTCCCTGTTTATTTTCACAATTAGAGAAAAATCCTGCAAAACAGAAAATTATGGGTGCTTTTAAATATACCTTAAATTCCCTTTCTAGACCTTAATGTGTAGGCATTTTTATTAATGACGATCATAAAGTTCAGGTGAATAAAATCTGTAAATAAAAATGGACCCACAATTGACCAAAAATTTCAAAAATTCCAAATTATTTTCCTTTGGACTATATGAGAATAACTTTTTGGGCCCCCTTTTGAACTACTGGATCCACTCGCGATACATGTGGGTAAGAAAGGGTATTTTGGGTTGGAGGTTCTCGCCTTCCCCCAGCTATGCCAGTACATAAGTAATATACGTCTCAGTAAAGTGTGTCACTCCACTTAAAAAATTGGAAAGACTCACTGATCATTAGCATTCTATAAGCATTTGTATACCATGCATATAAGCTAGTGAAGAGTTGACTGATCAAGGAAGCATAAATAACTGTTTTGTGATCCTTTCCAATGATATATAACTTGACATATTTGACATTCACACTTTCATCTAAAAGGCTCAACCAGTTACTACCCAGACAGAATTCATAGCCTTCAGCAATGACCACTTCAGTTCAGTTCAGTCAGGTCTGAGTAGTAAGAAATCCAGCACACCTACTGCAGGTATCATTAGATATACATGGTGCTTTAAGGGCAAGTTTCAATTTCAGTCAATCATTCAATAATGGAGATCTCAGATCTTAATATTTCTTTTCATCTATTTTTAAAAGAAATCAAGAGATCCAACAAAGTATTCTATAATATACATTGGTCAGGCCCGTAGCAAGGATTTGCCAAGGGGGATTCACTTTTTGGAAAATTCCAGGGGGGTCCACTTTTGACAATTTTGGTCAAAAAATGGCCAAAATCACTTTTTGAAAGAATTTTTGGCCAGAGGGGGGGGGGGGGTTGCTCGAACCCATCAAACCCCCCTGGCTACGGGAATGTTGGTAATGCCAATTCTAAAATGAATAACAACCAAATATGGAGATCATGAAGATGATGAATATGGTAGTATTAAAGAGACTCTATTGAGACTTCTCTGTGGCATTTTTTCTTTATTCCTTTTTGTTTTGAATTTTTAACACCATAACATTAACTAACTTCTCAATATGCAACTTTTCACCACGTAGAATTTTAAAATATTAAGTTTGAAAATTCCTTTTTTATAATGGAGCTCAATGGGAAAAACTACATAATTTGAATTATTTTCAAACGTAGCGGCGTGATTTTGATAAAATTGACAGATATAATAAATATTGGTAAGACAAAATGTTTGATGAAAAATGAAGAAAATTCACCGTCCTGGTTACGCAAACTATAGAAAAATCTGAAATAATCATAAAAACCTGTAAAAATAGATTGAAGGGGGTGATATTCATTTTTAAGTGCATTTCACTACTACAGGGTAACCATAATTTTGGTACTGATTTGATTTTTCAATGAAAATCATTTCTATAGTGTATAGTCAGTTTAAATAATACAATTGCTTTATTTCTTTACTGAACAGTGCAATCATTTATTTATTTATCAACAGTAATGCAAACTACATATTATACAGTTAGTAAAATATTAAAATAATTCTATTAAAATTAAAGCATTGAGATGATACTTAAATAATTACATATTATATTGATAGGCATATTATATTATAGGATTTAAGCCAATGACTCAATGCATTGTAGATGATTAAATAAACATATGTCCTGATTCTAGACTATAAACGAGGGTGGTAGTCCGAATTCAAAGCCTAGAGTAGAAGACATAAGTGGATTGAAGCATCCACTATTCATCGAATCATGTGCTTTAATTCAATTTCACACATTGCAAAATATTTTTTACAATTTCACTTAACAGAATGATATTTTTTCAAAGATATGTTGTACTTTTACAATCATTTGCTTCAAAGAATTGAACTATTTTTCGATGGAGATAAAACATTTTGCTGTATACTTTGTTTGTAAAAATGCCAGCCATGGCTGTTCGATGGGATTTGCTACACTTTGGTGTTGCTGTTGTCTAGTTGAAGGATGGATGGACGGACAAATGGAGGGGTCTCTATAGCTTATCCCCTAATCTTCGTTGGATTGAACAATTGTGAATATGGTTTGTTGGACAAATAAAACTGATTGAATGTCTAAAAGCAAATAATGAAGTGGTAATTTATTTAAAATCATTAAAATCTCAAACATGCTTGCTTTGGTCTAGTCACGTAATTAGTATCTATATACCTTATTAGATGCAGTGAAGGAGTTAAATCATTGGGATATGAATAAATCATGCAAAACATATTTTGTACATATTTCTCATCATTTAGGGTTACCCAGTAGTTTACAAGCTGACCTTTGCAAAATATATTTCACTTACTATCCTCATTCGCTATCACGCTATCAAGTTTCTTTCCAAATTGGCCTGGATTGCCTGGTTTATTGGTTTTAGCGAACCGTCCATTTCGTCGAACCATCATTTTGCTAAATTTGTTTGTGATGAATATACAATATTCAGTTACATATAACTGTACAGCAACTTTATGCAAGGGAAGGTAATTGTGTGAGAGCACATAAAGTACATGAGGTATTGACCCACTTGTCTCAGTGAATCTTATAAACAGTGCATAAAGTTTTTTCTATGCAATGATTGGCTCACAGTTACTTATAGTGTAAGTTATTTTATTTCTATACAGTGTGGAATAGAGTGTATACACTTTTACTGTTTCAAGCAGGTTTTAGTGTTTTCTGACCAATGATATATTCAGACTTATTCATGTCACGATTATGTAATACTGACCTACATATCTGTATAGCATATCTTTAACGTTAAACTAAACCAGAGTTTTAATCCCCAAGGCAGCCCTAGCTTAATAAAAATAAACAGCAGGTGAATCATAATGTGTTGATAAGGCTAGCATCAGAGCTTACTCGATAACAATCAGATCCATTAAGCCTAATCAATTTATATTATAAGTACATTCTACAGTAAAACATAACTTCAGAAATTCCCATTTGTAAATCAATAATGTTCTTTTAAAAATCAATTTTAATCCAAGCTTCCAATGGCAAAACTGCTAAGCCATCCTTCAAGATTTTACTACTGATAAAATGAATACAGAGAGAGGATGGGACAAAGAACAGTTTTTTCAAAAATGGGTAAATGCGAAGAAAGTGGAGAGAAGATATTTACATTATTTTTTAGCTCCGGATAAATAGATGGATAGAAATAATGATGGCATCTGGATGTTACCTCATCAAACTCATTTACATGTATTTTGGATTAATAATTAATAACATTGTTTTATGCTGCCAAGTAAATAATATTTATTTCTTATTAAGATGCTTCTATTTAAAGACTTACACTCAATTAAGTATATCACAGTTAGGGTTACATGTATTCCTCAGTTATATCATCAGTCCAAATATTTATAAAGATATAATATCATATCTCTCCATATCACTTATTCCTAATTGAGTGATATAAATGTAATATCTATCCATATCATGTTATATCAGTACAGCATGTACATGAAATATCAGTTCGCATTATTTGTTCTAAATTAAGAAATAAGGAACAAACAAAATGTTACCACTGCACTTAAAAATGGTTACAAACATTTGTTACAAACACCAACTTTAAAATGCTGCAGCTGAATGTCACGAAAAACAATTAATAGAAATATGTAATATCCTCATTGTCTTTTCCCAATTGACTTATTGGTATTTTAAATATCCTTCAGTCCATATTGTTTGTTTCCTACTTAGGCTAAAATGCACCATTCAAAGGTTTGCATGGGACCGCACCCAGGAAGGGGTGGGGATTTTGACATAGTTAAAAAATTTAGCTGTCACCTTACCATTTGAGCAACCTATGTGTATGGTCAGGCCCATAGCAAGTTTTTGCAAAGGGGGTTCACTTTTTAAAAATTCCAGGGGGGTTTCGGTATTGAAAACAAACTTTGCCAAAAAGGGTGAAAAACTGCAGGGGGGGGTTGGGCAAAATTTCTTTCAAAATCATGCAGTTTTTCACCATTCCGGCCATTTTTTGTGTGATTTTTGGCCAAATATGCCAAAGTGAACCCCCCCTAGAATTTTAGGGAAAAGTGAACCCCCCTTGAAAAATTCTGGCTACGGGCCTGTGTATTGTTTGTAATTAGCTACTATAAAATATAATATCAGTCCACATTTGTTATTATTTTGCTTGTATAAAAATATATAGTAATCTCTGACACTGTAAAATATCACATGGTCCACAATGTGGTTGTATAAAGCACTTAAAATCTAATTTCGTTAATACTGATCATCATCTAGTTCCAAACACGATGCCTTGTATTAGCCTATTCAGGGACATGGCATCCTGGGCAGCATTCTAGAACAACAGTGTGAGAAAATGCTTTGTAGAAATATTCATATAATGTTTTGGTGCAATAAGGGTGTATGTTTGATGTATGGGATTGATTTATGCGGTACAAGCACTCAAGAACATGTAAATCTACATGGGTGTAATGAGGTGCTGTAATGAGGTACTGTTAGGAGATGCTGTAAGAAGGTGATGTAATTAGGTGCAGTATTGAGGTGATGTAAGGAGTTGCATTAATGAGGTACTGTAAGGAGGTAATGTTATGAGGTGCAGTAATGAGAAGCTGTAAGGAGGTGAAGTAAAAAGTTGTGGTAATGAGGCACTGTAAATAGGTGCTGTAAGGAGATGTAGTGCTTTAGGTGTTGTAAGGAGCTACTGTAATGGGATGCTGTAAGGTATGTAAGAAAAAGTGGTAATGAGTGGAAGAAGACTATATTGAAACGGCTGGTTTATTGCAGTCAACTGTTTCACTTGCATAAGATGAAGATGGAAATGTTGTGTATGAGACAATTATTGTTTCAACTCATAAGTTTAAAATTTTCATTTCAGTGTATATGTTGTAAACTGTGATGTCAGAGACTCTGTTATTCAAGAGTAGTTATATATTAATTAGCAATTTATGTTGGGTTTCAAGAGAGTCCATGGTTAAACATAATGTAGTCCGTACTTACCGACCATGCCATGACCAAGCCATCACTACCGCAGCTGATAAGCCCATTGTTACCATTGTTGACACACATCTAGAACAAAATGACACATAAAAAGACACTTTTTAAGCAAAACTTGCATTTTTCTTTGAATTTCATACTTTACTCTAAAATCATAAATTAAAGTTTGACACACATCTATAACAAAATGACACATAAAAAGACACTTTTAGGCAAAACTTGCATTTTTCTTTGAATTTCATACTATACTCTAAATCATTAATTAAGTTTATCAGCTGCAGGAAATGTCATGAACAATCAGATTACTAAGTTGAAGTGGGTGGGTATCATAATTCACATCAATTGTTCAATGTTTTCCAAACCAACAAGAAATAAACAAAAAATAAAGAATTACAATGTTATGTTATTATAAAACCTAAGGCTAAACATCCAATGGTCAACAACTTTTTCCCAAACCGTTACAGTTACACATGGACCATTACGACCCACATATATTGCACCAGATGTCTAAACATTGTCAAATAGGATATAGGTGTTTGTACCTGTATTGCACCGGAATGTCCTTTACATTCACCAATATGCTTGAGTTTAAGGACACGCTTGCTGTCACAAGACTTTGGAAAATCTACCTGGCTGAAAAAGAAAGAAGTACATGTATACAATATTCACTTCATATGTGCCTCAAATGATTTAATGCTTCATGGACCGAAATTAGGATAGAAAATAGTTAAGGTCATTTTAGCAAAAAAAGCCATTAGGTAATATGGAGAGTTTACGGAGCTACATGTACTTAAACACTAGAAATTCCTAATAAATATCTCATTCACAATTAAATGGCAAATGAGGCCTGTTTATAAAATTGGTTATTGTGACAGTACCAACTCTCATCTTTGGGAAATCTTCCCCCCTTTGTCTGAATTTAGTGAAAATAATTGTGAAAAAATAAATGATGAATATTTTGTCATTTTCGTGTGAATCACTAGTCACTACCGAAGTAATTATTATAAAGAGGTATACCATATTGGATTTAATAAAATTGAACACTCAATTACAACGTCACTTAATAACTGTTATTTAACAAATAATAAGAAGATTACAGTGTGTACCTGGTACCCAGGAGTCTATTGAATATGTTATCATCCAACACATCAGCTTGTTCCCTGATGCATCCCCATAGCATCAGCCTACCATCCTCACTACATGTGGCCAGAACAGAGCTGAAATATTTCATGAAAATTTCTGTGATATTTAAAATTCAAAAAAATTGACATTCAAAACACTAAAATGACAATATAGGCTGTTCACAACACAAATACAGTTAACCTGTCTAAGTGGAACACTTGGTACAGCTAAAAAGTGTTTCACTTACAGAGGTGTTCAACTTCAAAGGTTTCACCATACTAAAGAGGGTTCTCTCCTTGTTTTTTAATATAAAAAGCCAATGATAATTTACACATGTTTAGTGCTTGGCTGCAGCAGCTGAAGTGATTAGATGATCTAGACATAATTAAAAGTTCATGACCTTTGCATGAATTGCAGAACCAGATGGCAACCTCTGTAATTTAAATATATTTCAACTGAAATTAAATATAATTCAACTCATTTATTCTAAATTAACAATATTGTAATTTATTTTTTGTGACTGTATAATGTTATTATGTATAATGTTTCTAAAACAATTAATTCACATATTCCATTGTGGGAAAAACTAACATACATTGTTTTTTAATAAAACATATAGCATATAAGAGGGGGAAATATCCCAAAATTCGAGATATTGGTTCATCTTTATATGAGGATTTGGGTTTACTCGAGTCTCTAGCCAATACTTGGCTAGAGGGGATTTCATCTGGAATACTGTGAATTCTATTTGAAAAAAGCTGGCCGGGGTGTCATAAATTTATTGAATATTTTAAAAATCGCCAGATAAATAAATCATTAATCAAACCGGACCCAGCTCGGCTCCTTGATGAGATATGACATGATTTCATCAGGCTTTCGTCTAAAATTAAAACAAAATGGCTCCAAGAAATTTTGGAATTTTTGGTGAGGTAATAAGACCAAAACTCGCAATTCAAATTGTGATGTGGAAAAATGGCGGACATATGATTTCAAATTTTATGATTACGACATGACCATTCGTTCATGCAGAAGTATATCTGTACTGGAAGGCCACGATACAGTGGCCTTAGAAGAAGGTAAATTTGGGCCATCTATGAATTCTGAGCTTTCCCTCCTCTTATAGCCTCTTATATAGCTTCTAACTCACTTGTTCTTTACCAGGCAAACATATAGAATCTTTGAGTTATGGGCCTGTTTGTTCTCTGCGAGCATCTTCCCAGTTTCCACATCATATATACAGAACCCATTACCAAGGGTTGTAAGCAGGAACCTCTAGAATTCATTTAAAGGGAGGAATTAGTTAATTTTCAATTGTTTCATTTAGGAGGAACCTCTAGAATTTATTTAAAGATTGGCAATTCAATATTTCCATTGTTTTTTTGAAAATAGCATAAGCATATACAGCATGGGCCAAAAATGTTATCCTTATTATAGATGTGTATTTATATTCATAAATTGAAATTTATTTTGATCGATTGGATAGTTCTCATCCTAGCATGACATCTATACTTACCTGTGAAATTCAATGTACTTACTTACCTGACGTGTGCACATGTACTGTAAATGTTTCCGTTTATGTGCGCTGTGCAATTTTAAAAATCAAGTGATGCAAGTCATGAAATATTATCTCTGAATTATTTGGATTTTATGGTTTTATCGTTACACTAAAGGATTATATACATTATGAATGAAGACAGTAACACTATTCGTAGATGTACAGCATGAAGTCAAAGATTGAGATTCCTCAAACAAAAGTCCAAACAACTAGTTAAAAATGGAATTCAAGAATCCACTCAGAGGACATACAACATTGGACAAAAAATGTTCATAAAGTTTTGTGAATCCCACAGTCTAAAATATCTACCAACAACTGAAGACACATTAATGCTATTCATTGCAGATTGTGAAGATCGTAAATTACGTCATGGTACCATTACAAATTATTTATATGCTATACGCTCTTTGCAATTAGAAAAACGGTTTTAATGATCCTTTAAAGGATAGTTTTTGTATTAAACGTGCTTTGAAAGGCATTCATGTTTCTCAAGATAATAATCTCAATCAGAAGTTAGCAATTGACCATAGCATAATGAAGAAATTTGAAGTGTTACATCGCAGTTTGGATCATAACACAATAACGTTTTGGTCTGCGATGACACTTTCATTTTTTGCATTACTGCGATGTTCCGAGGTTACTGTTAAGAACCCAATTCACTTTGATACTGAGAAAGATTTCACGAGAAAAGATGTCACTTTTATTAATGAAAATTGCATGAAAGTCATGCTGAAACATTCAAAAACGGATAAGACAGGAACGGGAGTTGAATTAGTCATTGGTAGTACAAAACATCCTGTGTGCGCAGTGTGCTCAATGAAACAAAATTTAAAATTAATCTCAGATAAAAATTCTCCTTTATTCCAGTTTGAAGATGGTACATTTCTTACAAGAAAAGTATTCATTGATCACACACGTACATTTCTAGCACTTATTGGTATCAACCCCCAAGACTATAGTGGTCATAGTTACAGAATAGGGGGTTGCACAAGTGGGGCAATGGCCTCAATGGAAGAGTGGGAACTTAAACTACTCGGTTGTTGGACAAGTGACTGCTATAAGCGTTATATAAGGACACCAGTGTCCGTTTTATCTTCATTCTCAGAGAGATTGTTAAATAATTGATTGATAAAGAAACCGGACAACATGTTCTGGGCTGCTATACAATCAGAATAGATAACATCTTTTTGACCACCCTATAGTGTAATATACATTCAATATGAACCCATTTTAAATCGATCTGCATCTTTTGGATCCTAAATTCCTAATTCATAGAAAATGCAACCTTCCAATTTTGGAATTACTCAATTATGACAGAATCTTCTTGATTTGATCTTGAGTGTTCAATGCGTGGAAATACATTGTAGTGGTAAATCAAATCCTATGCTAAGATGTGAAAAAGAAATTTTCTGACTTTTCCAAAGTCATTACAGTCTTACTTGTTGAACATGTTGAAAGGCAATCATATGTTGAATACTAAGGGGGAAGTCGTGTTTTTCTCCTTCATTCCCCACAACATTATGGCTGAATGGCTGCATGAAGAACCGAAAAGGGGCTAGCGTCTTACTGCACCATAACACTATACTGCCATCTATAGATCCACTGGCAAACGTATGCTCTGAATAAGATAAAGAAAATGAGCAATAAGTAGATGCAGAAGTGATCACGAATTTGTTTATGATGTTCTTCTGAAGTTCTTTGTTCTGGTTAAAGACATATTAAAACAGTGGTAATGAATATCAAAGGTTCAAAGAGTAAAAATGCAAAAAATGAATCTACACTATAACATATTGAACATTATACAGTATTTTTTGCTGTTCTCTCCCTTCAAAAGTTTGACAACAACATTTCCCTTTTCAGTCCATGTTTATGTTACTTGAATTTGATGTTGAACAAGTTCATCCCAATTGTCATTAACTGAACTATTATGTAAAAAATTAAGAAACAACCATATGCAGGCTTTAACAGGCTATCCTATGGGTACTTCCTATTTCAAAACTTATTGCGGGGGGGGGGGGTGTACATTTTTAAAAGTACACAACATTTTATGAATTACCTGATACATGTATGATGCAATGTATGGAGTCCCTGTGTTCTGTTGCAGTGAGACGCTTCAGCCTTTTGATCCTGCATTCTGGAATATCATCTGACCCTCGAAGTACACCATAAACCACTATAAGACAAATTAATCCTTTGTGAAACTATACTGTAACATGTAAGAAGGGGGAATGAAGGTTAGGCCCAATACACTGGGCTTCATATTACAACTTTATTAAAGACTAGAGGCAAGATTTCTTACTGAGTTTGTCCCCAGTTGCAGCCACTATCCAATCATCATTCAAGAGAAGCATCGAGTGGATATCAGCTGAAATTTCAACAGTGTTATCTCGTATGAATGCTTTTTGCAGGAGGTGGGAGGTCTATCAAGATAAGAAAGCAGGCCTGTAGCCAGGATTTGCCAAGGGGGGTTCACTTTTTGAAAAATTCCAGGGGGTTCACTTGTGACAATTTTGGTCCAAAAATGGCCAAAATCACTTAAAAAGTGCTCAGAATGGTTCGCTTGAACTACCCCCTGGCTATGGGCCTGGAAAGTATGTACATGAGATTTCCCAAAAATAAGGTACAATATGGATTGTGACACCTCATATTTTAGCAAGATTCAGAATTCAGAATTTACATCTGAAATATTGAATCTAACAAGGCTGTGAACGAAAGATTACCTTAGCGTGTTGTTCTTGTCTCCTTGTTGGTAAGATGTTTCTTTCGTTTGTAATTTGTAACTTATCTTGATTATCTAACTTATCTAAAGTGTGCACACCTAAAATTATCTATCTAAAACTAATCTTCAACTGCCTATGTCTTTACATGTGGACAACCTGGGCTCAACTGACCAGTTTGGCCTCTATAGCATAATTAGCCCTTTTAAATCTCTGGTTACCTTTAAAATAACTTGGTATTGAGGCAATTTAGCCCTTGTAGTAAGTTTCTCTTCTTATTTATATTACATCTTCCCCCTTCTTGAGTTTGTCGTTACTCAGACAAGCTTTTATACAATAAACTTCTTCTTGTTCTTCTGTTTTTCTGCTATTTACAGTGATAAAATATCTTGGATAGCTTTTCCAAAATAAAATATAATACTTCTATAAAAATCTCAAATTCAATTAAGTGTCACTATCACTTTATGTCACTTCTTGGATTATCCATTAGGAAATAATTGCCTCTCATCAAGGTCATCATCAAGGTCTCCTTTTAGGGGTCTCTCGACTAACTTAAGTGTAGCAGCATCATCTTGTAAAGTCATGTCTGTAGGCAGCATGTCAATATCAGCTTTACTCTTTGTTTTTCTTCTGGCTACTAAATCATCTTTGTTAAACATATCATCAAACTGGAATGGTATGACAAAATTATCATCATCATTTTCGGCTGCATCTTTGACAGATGTGAGTTTCATCTCAGCTTTAATATTCTTGCTAACATCATCTTCAATCTGTAATATCTGTTCCCATTGCTGTCTTGTTGTAACGAATGCATCAGTTTTTCTTTTGTACACATGTTGATTCATCATGTCTGTGTCCAGTCTGCTAAGGATGTCTTGCCCAATGATAACAGAGGCTGGTAAATCATCTGAAACAGCAGCTTGTACATTATAAGTTTCATCACCAATCTGTATATCAGCTGATGTAGTTGAATACACTTTGCTGTCTCCATGGACACATGTCATGCTCACTTTATCATTGTGTATAACTGCATCTTCATTTATCAGATCTCCATGTATAATAGTTTGACAGCTACCTGTATCTACAATTACTTCAATTTCTTCATTATCTAAATTTGCCAAGACTGTGCCATCGCCTCTACGCGAGTATTTTGTGAATAGGTCCTCAGTTTTTCTGCACAAGAAACTACGCTTATTTCCTACATAACATTTAGCTGTGACATGACCATATTGATTGCATTTTTCACACTTAAGGGACGTGTCTACCATACAATTTTCTGTGGGATGAGCCTTACCACAATTGTCACATTTAACAGAACTTTTATTATCAGCTCTGTTCTCTGATTTACAACTATCAGATTTGTGCCCAGTTTTATGGCATTTAAAACAAAGTGTTTCATTAGGGCAAGTCTTCGCTTGGTGCCCTGGCTCATTACAGTTAAAACAATTGTTGTGAGCGCCATCTGTCTTGTTCTTCCTCTTGAAGGTTGGACTCTTGTTCCATACTGGAGGATCATTTTTCCTGGCTTCTAGAAAGTTGTCGGCTAGTTTCACCACATCATCTGTTGTTTTCGCATCATTTTCTTTCACCCAAGTCTGGACATCAACTGAAAGAGTGTTGACTAGTTGTTCCTTCATAATTCTATCTTTAATTTTCTCAACTGTATCTGCATCTTTCATCCACTTCTTAAAGGTGTCTTCTAGTCTGATTGTAAAAGCTTTAATCCCTTCACCAGTGTTTCTCTTTAAACTTCTAAATCTTTTTCTGTAGGTTTCGTCATTGATGGAGTATCTGTGAAGAATGGCTTCTTTTACAACATCATAATCTCTGGCATCATCAATAGCAACACTTGCATATGCAGACTGTGCTTTACCAGTGAGATTAGGACCTAATTTTAGAGTCCAGTATTCTCTTTTCCAGCCACACATCTCTGCAGTTCTTTCAAATATTGTAAGATAGTTCTCAATGTCTTCATCATCCTTCATCTTCTGGATTTGTGGATCCTTCGGCTTATTTCTGAACTCCAACTCTTGTTGTCTTAATTCAGCTCTCAATCGTCGTTCTTCTTCAAGTTCATCTCTGTGTATCCTTTCTTGTCTCAATCTCTCTTGTCTTTCAGCATCCAACATGTTGTGCTGCTCCTTAAGTTGAAGTTCCATCATCATATGTTGATGCTGACGTTCTGCTTCACTATTCTTCATCATAGCAGCCATCATTGTCATCATTTGTTTCATTGGGTCCATGGTATCTCCTTGAGCCCCTTCTTCATCGGCTTCATCATAAACTTCTTGTTTCTCCGTTGACATTGTGTTTGGTTTCTTCTTCTTCTTGACTTGTTTTTGTCTATCTTCAAATGAATCGTAAGTTTTGTTTCTAGTATCGGGCATTCCTTATACCCTTACATAAATAAACTTGCTCTATTCACACAGAATTGAAAAATAAAATCAATCATATGTCTCAATCAAATATGTTCTCAAAATTCAATTGAATAAATTGTACATGTACTTTAGATATGTACAGTTTGTTTATTTACATTTGCATTATGCAATTTGTTTTGATTTGAGTCTAGCCAAATGTATTATGTAATTCTAATTGATTAAATTCAAAGGCTAAACTTTTCTCTGCATGAATTCAAACTCACTCAATTGATGTGAATAGAGTCATTATGACCTTCTAATAAAGTCAATGTAAATTAAAAATGTATCACTCACTTAAAAATTCTATTTAAGTGGTCAATAAGCCTGCCTGCAAAAATCAGTAAGAAATCTCAACACTAATTTCATTTCACACTTTTTCACCACATTTCATGAAATTCAATGTAATGATTGAGATCTACCAAATACCAAATCAAATTTCTATTTGCATGAAATTCAACAGTGCTGTTGAAATCTGAACACTAAAGCTGGCTAATTTTACACTAAATTTGGCTACTTATGCACTAAACTTGACTACTTATTTGCAATATAGGAAGGTCTATTTGAATTCTCAAAATATCCTGGCTAAAAGTTGAGAATTGGTTTGCAAGCTATTTATTAGCAATATGCGTACTATAGGACCTGTAACACTATCAATATTGCAATCTAACTTGTACGAATATCAAACCTCTAAAAACAATCTCAATTGAGACTACACATTGCAGTTTTCTGAAATGTACTTCAAAATTGCCTCTATAAATGAACTTTTACCATATAGACTTCTATAATGCTAAATTTAATTACTTCTAAATTATGCACCTCTATATGCACATCTAATTGCACCTCTATATGCACGTCTGAATGCACCTCTAAAATAGCATTTCTAGAAAATCAACTTCTACCTCAATCAGCATCTATAAACTGACATCTAAGAAATTGTCCTTCTGGAACCATCTATAAATTGCAACTTTAGTAACTGCACTTCTATTAAAATAACGTCTACAAATTGCACCTCTAGAATATGCAAAACTACCTAAACATCTAAACATCTAAACTTCTATAAATTGAGTTGAGCCCTACCATAGAATTGAAATTCAAATTATCAAAATCCTAACTGTCCTTTTGAAAATTGGAGAAAATAAGTGTTCTCACCAAACTGCAAAATTCTTCTTTCTTCTTCGAAATTCTTCTTTCTTTCGGAAATTCTTCTTTCTTCTTCGAGACGTTGTTCTTTGTTTCGCTGCCACCATGTGAACGAAAGATTACCTTAGCGTGTTGTTCTTGTCTCCTTGTTGGTAAGATGTTTCTTTCGTTTGTAATTTGTAACTTATCTTGATTATCTAACTTATCTAAAGTGTGCACACCTAAAATTATATCTAAAACTAATCTTCAACTGCCTATGTCTTTACATGTGGACAACCTGGGCTCAACTGACCAGTTTGGCCTCTATAGCATAATTAGCCCTTTTAAATCTCTGGTTACCTTTAAAATAACTTGGTATTGAGGCAATTTAGCCCTTGTAGTAAGTTTCTCTTCTTATTTATATTACAAAGGCACAGCACATAAGATGTAGTACCAAAAAAGGTAAAAGAGGGCTAAAATATATTAAACAAGAGATTGAACATCCAAGAGAGACCCCTCCCATTAGCATTCTTTCCTGTTGGGGGTGAGGTTCAAAGGTCTTATGTGATTTGGATTCTCATCTTATCATCATGTATATTTTCTATTGTTACATTTAAAATTTAGTCCCATATCATTTAAAGTTGTTTTTTCTTTTATTGAGCCTTTAATGAAAGCTAAGCTTTATGTAGTTCTTGGTACAGCCAGGGAGGTTACAGGTGCATAAGGTGGAGGGGTAAAAGCTGGTTTTGTTTGCAGTGGCCAGCTATTACTAATTTTAGAATGCACTGGCTCCCAAAAAAAAACATTAATTAAAATCATTTCTATTGTTTGAGGACATTGCGGGCTTTCTACTTCAAGTATCTTGTCTTACTTTTGATTGTTTTCAATAGCATTGTTGTGTAAAGCCATGGGCTCTGATAGAGCCCATGGTAAAGCCAATAGTGGTTTGCACAACGTTGATTGAGGCGAAATATTTTCCTAACATCCCTCAAATATTAAAGCAGTAGTAGCAGAGGACATGCAGTGCAAAATGTTGCACATACCTTCATTACAGTCCATGTTATGTTCATACAAAAGTGAGCCATGCTGATTCCAAAGACACAGCTTTTGATCACCACCAGAACAAAACAGTTTGGGTTGTGGGATTTCCAACAGGCACTGATTGAAATGATCATACATAGTTAATGTGGAGAGATGTCTTAAAATTTTGAAGGATATTTGTGCTTTATCCAAAAGTGATCCATACTGTACTGTACTGGAATTGCTTGTGATTAAATATGGAGTTCTTAATATCTATGATTTTAGCTAAAACTGGGAACACTTTAGACTTGTCATTAAAGTAACATGGCATCAAGTACTGTAGGGTTAATACTAATGGATTCAAGTATTGTATTACCTTAACAGGACTATGGTGATCCTTGATTACTTGCATGCATCTGCCTGTATCGACATTCCAAACACATAGTTGCTTGTCTGAAGACCCTGTGACAAGCAGTAAACTATCAGTGATGTCAGGTTCGGGGTGAATAATCATCATACATGTGATTGGTAGATTGTGTTGAACTAGCACCTTCAGCTTCACACCCATCTAAAAATGACATCTTAACTTTATTACACAGATCATGATTATTAAATAGTAAATAAATAATTCACACATAGCTAGGCAAGGTGTGTCTGATTCTAGCTAATCAGAATCAGAGTATTCACATAATGAACAGTGTGTGAAATATGCACACATGCAAGGTCACTAGTTAAACAGTTGTAATGGTGATGAATGGACTTTTCACATTGGATTTGATGACTTGCTTTCATTGAAAATGTGTTCTTTTAGTGATTTCGTTCCTTTTGGATGATTTTGTAAAAAAAATTGAAATGTGTGAAAAGAATTTAAGCCCAAAACTCAATGCATTCTAGCTGCTTCATTCCACTCAGGCTTTGTTTCCTAAACTTTGTATTCCTGCTGCACGGTCATGAAAACAAAATATCCCCCTCTCTCCCACCATTCAAGTTCAATCATAATCCAAGACCACAACACCAAAGGAAGTCTAATTCATACTGAAGTCATTACAATACATTTGAAGAACAAGTTATAAACTGCTAACCAATTCTCTCTTAGAAGTATTTATACCTGTACATCCCAGACAACCACAACACAATCATCCCCAGCGGAGGCCAGTCTAGAATTACAATTATAAAAGGTATGAAAAGGTATGTTATTTGGAGTGTATTTATGTAACTAATTATAACAGTACAGCATTACTGCAGAGTTACAATACACCAAATAATTACAATACAAAGTTCTAATATGTACTACTTGCAATATACAAGTACCGTAGTTATATAATAGTTACAATACGGACCGACAATACAGTGTTACAGTACCTGGCTCCAAAACAATAGTTAATTAAAGTTAAAATAATGTGTTATAATATAGTGTTACACAATACATAACAGCGTTACAGTGTCTAATAGTTTTAATACAATGTAACAATATACATTTTGTGTTACAGTACCTGTAATGATCAATCCATATTAGATGTCGTACAATATCACTATGATGAGCCAAGATCTTTACACCTGTGAATATATGTCTGCCAGCTAGAGGTGGCACTGTATCTTCCTGGAAGAAGCAAAGAAAATTGAGCAAGGAGTAGGCGGCCACTTTAACGTGAAGCTAAATTGAATAAAAGTACAAAAAATGACTGCCATTTTTTTGATAAAGACACATGTTTTTAAAATATGTTTACCTTGTATATGAACTGTATATCTTGACTAAAGAAACATGTCAAAGTTAACATCACACATAAACACATTTTTCAAAACTATGAATTGGAGGTGCATGGATCCCCAAAGCTAGCATGAAGAGTGTGAAGTGAGGCTAATTTTTGAAAGTTTCAAGGAGTAGCCTTGCAATAGTCACACATTTGCAAGAGTCCAAAATTTCCACAAATCATCTTACCTTTCCCAGCAACGACAACGAAGGAGCATGGAAATGTGCACTTCTTGCATTGTTAGAGTATAATAAAGCTCAAACAATTGTGAATTCTAAATAGTTCATGTCAACCACCAATTATGAAATTCAATGCCCATTTTCCCTATGTGGGATTCGAACCCAGGACACTGAGATCCAAAGACTGATGCTCTACCGACTAAGCTATAAAGGCTAAGCAACTTGTAGCAACAAGTAGCAACTTGTGGCAAGTTGCTATCCAGGGTTGTTACAACAGGGGTAAGAATAGATGAACACAGGAATTTGTATCAACACCTGACAGTGTTTTTTCAGCAATATATGATACCATGGGCTTTCAAGAGAAGCCCATGATACAGGTTCCTGTGATGATAAACAAATATCATCTAAAGTCTGTTATACTGCTTCAAAGGCAAGCAGTTAAACCTGAAATATAAGAAATCTAAATAATATTGAACTCTATTGAGGTGAATACCTGTACATCTTTCACAAGTGATATTCCACGAAGCCCGAAGGGCAAGTGGAATATCACCTTGTGAAAGTGCTACAGGTATTCACCGAAAATAGAGTGAAATATTTGTTTTATTATAACACTGTCTAGCTAAACATCCCTAATATTAGGCATAGGTTAACATTGAAATACATACGAATCTACTCGGTTCGTCTGCCATTTTGACTTACACTGAACTAAATTATTTACACTGAACGAAAACAAATTCTTTGAAAATTCCCAGGAGCTTGGGATATCGCAAGATATCTCACGGTTGTCTTACTGTACGCCCGGTATTATTCGCGTGCGATTAACTTTCGCGCTTTTCGCGATGGTGTTAAAATCGCGAAAAATTATCGTCGCGAAGTTGCCAATTAAATCCCCGGGAATTTGTTTTTACCCGGGGCTCTGATGCATTTCGTCAACTTCTGATCCCTCCATTCCTACATCTGTAAGAAGAACTACAAAATGCATTTCGTTTTGTGTAAAACGTTTCGTCTAGTGTTATTGGGCGATAATTGGATGATTTCCACCAACATGTCTATTTTACGTTGGCTAGTCAGGCCAACTACTACCAATGGGCCTAGGCTCAATAATGACATCGACGATATTATAGAAACTGAAGTTCAAATTGCTAAAAATAACATGAAGTCCAAGCGTGGAACATATAAAGTGTACAACGATGCAGAAAGGGCAAACATAGCCCGGCACGCAGTTCTGAACTTGTGAAATTCGCGAAATTTAATAGCCGCGAAACCGTGTTTTCGCAAAATTCGCGAAATTAAAGCTCGCGAATAATACCGGCGTACAGTATCTGATTAGCATTGCCATTGAATATCGCCAGATATCCCACGACATGTGACCCGGTTTTGACCAATCATACTGTCGCTAGCTAGATAGCGATATAATAATGTGCAATATTAAATAGAAAAATATATTCATATTGCACATGAATGACATTTGTATATGTTGGATTGCTTGTAAATTGGCTCATTAAGTATGTAACCTCAGGCCCGTAGCCAGGGGGGCCGGGGGGGGGGGGGCTCTGGGGGCTCGTACGAGCCCCCCCCCATATCTCCTAGGAAAATGTGGACCTACCTTTTTGCTTCCTTGAAGAAAAACTTCCTCTTCCCCACATTCACTGGGCAACTAAGATTAAAAAACTGGCATTACTGTGCATTGTTTTTCGTTTTTGGGGCATTACTTGACCTTTTTGGGCCTTATTTTTTTAAATTTCAGGCCAAATTTTCAAAAACAGGCTATAAATCTTCAAAATTTTGGCCCGAAATTTGGTTTTAAAAATGTTGGGCCAAAAACATTGTAGGGCCTCTTTACTTGACCTTTTTGGGCCTTATTTTTCCAATTTAGGCTAAATTTTCCAAAAAATGGGCCATAAATCTTCAAAATTTAGGCCCAAATTTTGGTTCTAGGGCCCTAAAAGGTTTTCCGCATGGCCATAGGATGGGTCCAGAAAAAATGTTGGCCCAAATATATTGCAGGGCCTCTTTAGTGGGCCTCTTTGAGCATTAATTGACCTTTTTGGGCTTTATTTTTTCAATTTAAGGCCAAATTTTCAAAAAACGGGCCATAAATTTTCAGAATTTTCGCCCGAACTTTGGTTTTAGGGACCTCTCAATTTTAAGCGCGGCTCTAGGATGGGCCTAAAAAAAATTTGGTTTTAGGGCCCTAAAAAAATTTCTGAGCTGCCCTATGATGGGCCCAGAAAAAAAATGTTGGCCCAAATTTATTGTAGGGCCTCTTTAGTGGTCCTTTTTGGGCATGACTTGACCTTTTTGGGCCTTATTAGACTCCAGATGTAAATCTGGAGTCTATTGTTTTCGTCAGTATTCTTATTATTATTATTCTTTATTATTCTTTCCCAGTTTTCTCGATAACCATAAGGTTTTCAGTAAAGTCAGTCATTTGGTCAATTTAGGTCCAGAATCTAGTTCCTCGGAAATTGGGTCAAATTTTTATCTAGGTCAAAGGTCAAGAACTAGGTCAAATCCAGTACTTTGTCACTTTTTTCGATTTTCTCGGTCGTCCTTCAATATTTTCGATCCGGTTTTTTTTTCATTGTGTTCCTTATAAAAAAGTAGGAAATCTAGGGTCGATTTAGTTTTTTGATATCTCAAACCGATTTCGAGATATCAGTGTCCGAAAACGAGGTCCAAAAAAAAGTTCTCCGAATCAAATGTCCAGGATATTAGTCTTATAGAAAATTTTCTCAGGATTCCGAATCTGAAAACGAAATTTGGATCTGACTTCCAGTTCGGAAGTTATGGCGTTTTGAAAACTCAAAAATCGCTAAATTTGGTGCCCATGTTAAGTCAATGGGAAAAAATATTTTTTTGAAGTGAAAAATACGGAATATAGACTGAGTTCAGCTTCATATAATCAAAGCCTTTAAAAGAAGGGGACCTCAAAAGCCATCTAGCTTCACAATTTGGACACCGAAATGCCTAGGTCAAAATCTAGGTCAAATTCATAGGTTTTCCTTATTTTTTCGATTCTGACACTACACTTTAATTATATTCTTCGAAATTGTGTATACATGTAGCCAAGAATATGCTAATAGTGTTAGCCTTTTGCCGTCAGAAAGTATTTTGACCCACTTTTGAGATATGGTGTCCGAAAAGTAGGTCAAAATAAAAAGTTCTCCAAATTGAATATATGAGTTATGAATTAAGGGTAGAATTTTGTCAGGAATCCGAATCTGCAAACCAAATTTCGATCCGATTTCCGGTTCGGAAGTTATGGCGTGTCCGAAAAGTAGGTCAAAATAAAAATTCGCCAAATTTAACGTATGAGTTATGAATTAGGGGTAGAATTTTGTCAGGAATCCGAATCTGCAAACCAAATTTCGATCCGACTTCCGGTTCGGAAGTGATAGCGTTTTGAAATTTCGAGAAAAATCGATCTGATGGTATCCTGATAGAAAGTCAAGAGTAGAGAAGAAAATATTGAAAAATTCATCCATCCTCCTATCTCATCCTACCCTATCCTTCCTATCTATCCTTCCTTCATATATTTTCCTTCCTATCCTTCCTATCCTATCCTATCCTATCCTTTCTTCCTATTCTATTCTATTCTATCCTATCCTTCTTTCTTATTCTATCCTATCGTTCTTTCCTATTCTATCCTACCTTCCTATTTTATTTATCCATCTCTTTCTAGATGACTCAGCTTATTCTGGATGACTCGGCTTATTCTGGATGACTCGGCTAAAAAAAGTCTAGATCTGGAGTCTGAAATTGAACGAAGTTCAATTTCCAAAATCTAGTTATTTCTATTTTAGGCCAAATTTTCAAAAAACGTGCCATAGATTTTCTAATTTGTGGTCCAAATTTTGGTTTTAGGACCCTAACAATTTTTTCCTGTCTTGAAGTGCGGGTCCCCCCTTGTTAGCTTCCGGATCTGCCACTGTCCTTTACAATACTAAGGGGCTTGGTTTAGCATGGGGAATTTTTTTTTGGGGGGTTGCAGGGGGGGGGGGGGGGGGGTTCGAGCCCCCCCTTACAAAAAGCTGGCTACGGGCATGTAACCTCTTATATTTTGATGCTTCTCTACCATGTTAATTCTCAAAAAATAACATGGTGGACAGACCTCAAATTCGGGTGCAATATGAATATATTTTTCTAAATTATTATGGCACAATGGTCTATAGATTTATTATTTTTCAGGTTCAACTGCTTGCCTTTGACTTTGAAGCAGTGTAACAGACTGTAGCCAAATCAATTTAAGATAAACAAACGTTTTACAATCAAATTGGCGAACAGATATAAAAAGTTTAGACGTTCCGCACTTGATTTAGTCTAGCACCTTACCTTCATATCTTTGTTCTTATTTGATCCTTGTGTCGTGTCGGGTTGGATCATTTGTAAACACTGCAATATTCATACACGAGATTGACATAACATATTTTCACAAAACGTTGCACATTTTTGTGCAGAGTAAAAGTTTTTCAAGTTTTTGAAAAGTTTCTAGACGAGAACAGCTAAATGCACTTGAGGAATTTTCGATATAGCGAAATTAGTAGCATCTGGTTCTGCGTCTGCTTTCTGGGCTCAGCACATTTTTAGGTTCAATTTTCTTTTCAGTTTCCAGACAACACAGGGAGCTACCATTGACCGGTTTCCAGGTTTACTAAAAGATGAAGTAAATAATGCCCCAATAGTGACAGAAAACCGAAGTTTTTGGGCGATCGCATCCCTGACAGCTGGCTATATAGCCTAAGCTACGCCTGTCAAAGCCCAAGTATACTTGGCTACCCATCTATTCTGACTCTTGCCGAAGTATACTGACCCGACCTAAGTATTCTTAGTTTACTTATTTCTTCGAATACACTCGATAGATGTCCACGTTAGTTTTTTAATCATTTTGTAGTTGGATTTATTTTATTAAAAAGGTGGCTCCTGTTATTCTGGTAGTTTTATATTTTTACTTCATTATGTTATACGTTACGTTACGTCATATTACGGCTTCATCACTGGTTGTTATTTCTACTTTTATATAAATAATTTCAGGTCCCGACTTCCATATGTTTTTATAAAAGGCAGTTTCCTATCATATAAGGGTCACTATGAATAAAATATCTTATTAATCGTGGATATTGGATTGTTACAATAACATTTTGGTAGGTGGGAGATGTTGTTCTTTGTGCGTTAACCAGAATTATGCTGGGGATTCTTTTTCTTTTCTATGACTGATTCAATCAATGCTAGAACTAAATCACCAATAAATTGATAAAGCTATCTCGTTATGTGAGTCATGCAATTAAGGCACAATACAAGTTAATAGTTTCAATGATATTTTCTTTATTACATATAACCTTACATGTAACATATGGACATAATATTTACATTTTCTAGATTATACAATCAGTATTGTACATCATACGAGCTGCTTTTATTTCCATAATGATAGGGAAAACCTTTGGTGCTCCTATTAATATCAACGTGTTATCTTTAAAGTATACAATACGTGTATATTTATTATTTAATAAATTTCAAATATACACACCCTATGGATTTAAAGTAGCACAATTTATTCAGAATATGTAGCATTTTTACCGTCCGATTATTTATCTCATAGTATTGTCAATAGGCGATTATTTCCTATTCTACATACACAAGAAAAATATTGAAGTATTGATATTTAAAAAACAAAAAGAGTGGGTCTAATTCTTTAAATAATGTCAGGAATTAAAAAAATCAGAAATACAGATACTGACCCTTTAAGTATAAAATACAATGATAATAAAATAGGCGAGTATACTGTGTATCACTTAATCACTTTTATTACAATATATCATACATGGTTACAAAATATCTTATAATATACAGGGTGGGCCAAAAACACCCCTAGTCAATATTATTTTTTAACAGAAACACCAACAATGATATATCATTTTAAAGATTTAATTTAATTCGCAATAAAATGATATATAACAGAATAATTTTCAACAACCCTGAATTGCAACTGAATTGCCAAATGAATAGGCGCAGTGCATGGCAAAATATGTTAAGCCATCTAGTATTTGTTTAACTGATACCCTTCTAAGATATGAGATCTATTAAAAAAGGCGCATCATCAACAACGTGCAAGAGTCAATGTTTTTCCTATAAATCGGGCAACAATGGTCTACACGACCTGTAATAAATAGGTATAAGGGACGTTATTATCACAATACTAATGACATTGCTCACTTTTTAAAGTTAATTTCCATGCGTTATACAAAAAATAATCGAATTAAATTAATATTGGATGGAGGGGGGATAGGATGGAGGGGGGATAACGTTTATATAAGACATGATAAGACATGCTACTTGAATTTATTCTTATGACTCCAAATTTTCCCATTTTTCATTCTCCAGAGATACAATATCCAGTTCCTTACTGAAGTACTGAGTTTAGTTTTTTTCAACTACACGAGTTCTTGTGAATTTGTTCCATCGTAAAGACATATAAATCTAGCGTCCTGAAACGTTTTAGCTAATATTATTAGCCGAGAGCTCTTTAGAAAATCTGGATTTACATTACATTTTTAAAACGTGTTAACGCTAAAACGTTTTAGCCAAGACGTCTTAGGGATCTAGTGTAAATCCAACAACTATGATGTTTCAGTTGGTTAACCAATGCATGGAACAGGCAATTACCATCACCATCATTTTCTATAACTCTAAGGCCGTGATTTGCTGCTGTCTCCGCCATTGTCTGCTCTTTGTCATTTCCACTAATCATAGATTCCAACAATGCGCGTTGCAGCGCATAAAAGTTGAGCAAATCCTCTGAATAATAAAAAATAAAATTCTTCGCATTAACAACAGGTTTTTGCAAAAACGGGAACATTAGTGAATCTCATATAAAAAATGTGGCGCACTATGACAACAAAATCGTTAAAAAGACATAGTATGAGGACAAAATGCTGAAAATTAAGTTTCTAGTTTCAAGTTACTTCCAAAATTTGGTTGAGTTGAACAGTGTACAGTGGATGAGAAACTATCGTTTATTACATTTGCACTTTCTGTACCTTGCATTTGACTTCTCATTCTCCGACAAGTTCTCAACACCTCCTTCCTGTTGCAGCCCTAACCTTAATCACAAAGTATAAGAAGGCATGTATAGTTATATCAAAGATTACATCAGCAAAGAATAGTAATAGTATAAGTAGTAAGTGTTCCGACTTTAACAACTGATTGAAGCAAGTGTTCCGACTTTTACATCTGATTGACCAAAGTGTTCCGACTTTTACAACTAATTGAAGAAAGTGTATCCGACTTTTACAACTAATTGAAGAAAGTGTTCCTACGTTTACATCTGATTGACCAAAGTGTTCCGACTTTTAGAACTAATTGAAGAAAATGTTCCTACTTTTACAATTGATTGACCAAAGTGTTCCGACTTTTAAATCTGATTGTTCCAAAGTGTTTATGTATAGTGTCACAAATGGAAATAGTCCAAATTATATACTTGACATCTTCAGAAAGTTCCAACGTCCTGACAATAGACGCGTTCTTCGCAACAAACCATCATATATCCTCCCCGCAAAACGTGCTATTATTAAATCAAAATCGTGTGTTTACAGAAGTATAAAAGAATGGAATGATCTACCTCTGAAAATCAAACAATCAAACACACTTGATACATTTAAACGTCAAATGGCCTCCAAATCACTACCAACTCCTATAATAGCAAGTTTTTCATTAAATCTTACTAGACATCGGGAAAAACTCTTGAACCAACTCCGATGCGACCTAGTCCTCAAAGCGCAACTACATTCACATAATTTTAACAATGTTAATTCCCCAATGTGCGCTTGCGAACTAGAATCAGAAACACTCAACCATTTTCTTTTCAGATGCCCCCTCCATGTAGATGATTTCAAGTTGCTAAATGATAAAATAACACGTGAAAATCCAATGATAAAGTTTAACTCTCTAACTCGAGCCAATAAGGCTAACACTTTACTATTTGGTCATCATCTCTGTAATAAAAATGAAAATTCATGTATCATCAAATCATTTGCTGAATATCTAGACATAGCATTTTCTAACCGCTGAGTCATTCTTTAGAGCACCACCAACATGCTACTAGTCGTGCGAGCCTCACTTGGCTGTATACCTTCAACTATGTAACACCGATGTATGTCAACTCCTATATTTCTGTAAAAATGGCTCATAATGTCAAGTTGACCGAGCCACTGACTTAAATACCAAATAAATAAAAAAAAAAAAAAAAAAATTGACCAAAGTGTTCCGACTTTAACAACTAATTGAAGAAAGTGTTCCGATTTTTACAACTAATTGAAGAAAGTGTTCCTACGTTTACATCTGATTGACCAAAGTGTTCCGACTTTTACATCTGATTGACCAAAGTGTTCCATCTTTTACATCTGATTGACCAAAGTGTTCCGACTTTTACAACTAATTGAAGAAAGTGTTCCTACCTTTACAATTGATTGACCAAAGTGTTCCGACTTTTAAATCTGATTGACCAAAGTGTTCCGACTTTTACAACTAATTGAAGAAAGTTTTTACGTTTACAATTGATTGACCAAAGTGTTCCCACTTTTACATCTGATTGATCAAAGTAATCAAACTTTTACAACTGATTGACCAAAGTGTTCCGACTTAAACATCTGATTGAAGCAAGTGTTCCGACTTTTCCATCTGATTGACCAAAGTGTTACAATTAACTGATTGAAGAAAGTTTTCCAACTTCTAAAATTGATTGTCCAAAGTGTTCCGAGTTTTACATCTGATTGACCAAAGTGTTCCGACTTTTACAACTTATTGAAGAAAGTGTACCTACTTTCACAATTGATTGACCAAAGTGTTCCGACTTTCAAATCTGATTGATCAAAGTAATCAAACTTTTACAAATGATTGACCAAAGTGTTCCGACTTTAACATCTGATTGAAGCAAGTGTTCCGACTTTTCCATCTGATTGACCAAAGTGTTACAATTAACTGATTGAAGAAAGTTTTCCAACTTCTAAAATTGATTGTCCAAAGTGTTCCGACTTTCAAATCTGATTGACCAAAGTGTTCCGACTTTTACAACTTATTGAAGAAAGTGTTCCTACTTTTACAATTGATTGACCAAAGTGCTCCGACTTTTCCATCTGATTGACCAAAGGGTTCCGACTTTAGCATCTGATTGACCATAGTGTTCCGACTTGTAATATTGATTGACCAAAGTGTTCCAACTTTTACATCTAATTGACCAAAGTGTTCCGACTTTAACATCTGATTGACCAAAGTGCAACTGATTGAAGAAAGTGTACCTACTTTCACAATTGATTGACCAAAGTGTTCCGACTTTCAAATCTGATTGATCAAAGTAATCCTACTTTTACAAATGATTGACCAAAGTGTTCCGACTTTGAAATCTGATTGACCAAATGTTTAGAACACTTTGGCCAATTAGATGTAAAAGTCAGAACGCTTTGGTCAATCAATTGTAAAAGTTAGAACGCTTT